TCAAGGTTTTTTCCACTTTGCCCTCAACCCCTCCTCAGGGGCAAGAGCCCCCCCCCCCTCTTATGAACTCGAGAAATTAGCATGGCTCTACATGTGCAAATTCGGCATATCTCCTCTACCTCTACATCGCAGTAGGGTCTCTATAATAAAGTCGTTTCAACTTGGCTTTCTAAGCTTTGCCCTCGACCCCTCCTCCGTGGCAAGAGCCCCCGTTTTCTGAACTGAGAAAGTTCTTGGTTGACAACACGTACATCTAAAGACCATGTAGAGCTACATAGATGCGTTGAGGACAGAGGTACTGGCGTCCTCGCCATAGTTGTACATGTAGTCAAATGAGGATTTTCTCAGTTCAGAAAACGGGGGCTGTTGCCACGGAGGAGGGGTCGAGGGCAAAGCTTAGAAAGCCAAGTTGAAACGACTTTATTATAGAGACCCTAATGCGTCCAAGAGGTTGAGGAGATATGCCGAACTAGCGAGTAAAGCCTGTCCATGTGACCAAAGTGTACCCTTGATCGACCCTGCTACGATTCGAAGCCCCCAGCCTACCCGTCGGGAGGCTGCACGCGACCGGCCCAGCGACAAAGAATATTTTTGTGGATTGCTACACCCGCACGTTGGCGGTGCTGGAACCATCTCTGTTGTGGCATATTGCTAGCTACACCCGCATGTTTGCGGTGCTGGAACCATCTCTGTTGTGGCATGTTGCTATCACCGTCTGTCACAGGCCATGCACGCGACGGCGCCCACTCCAACGTCAGATGCGATGGCGGAAACTCACGGGGCCCCCGCTACCCCTCACCCTAACCCTAACGTACTGGCGCCTCTCCTTTGGAGTGGATGCTACATAGCCGTGCTAGACCTCGGATAGAGAATCTCCCGTGATGAACAATATATACATATATATATATATTTCAGACAAGCCATACGTGAGGACACGCACCCCATTGTGCCCTTCCTGCCAGTGCTTTCGCTTCGCCGTGACCTGAAACACTCAACCAACGAAAATCCGCGAAGCAGGTGTTCCGGACTTTTCTCGGCGGGGGCATGTTTGAGCACCTGATTGGCCCGCTCAGCCCCAGGATGGTTCCCGTTCGAGACCCGGACTATCACCACCGGAAGTCGAAATCGCTGGCTGAGGTAAGAAACGCAAACACTTTGGGGGGGGGGGGATGCACTCCAGAAAGCGCATGCCGTAGTCTTTAGAGAATAGGCCGAGGATCCGTACAATGCCGGGACGGAGCGATATGGCGGGTTTTCGCCGGACCAGGGTCGCACCATCACCAAGCGCGAAGCGCCGCGAGGTTTTCGACCAGTCGCATGGAGGGGTGCGCTGCTAAAGGTGTTCCGCATCTTGTGCTTGGTACTTCCTTGCATACGAATGACAACTGTGAATGGCTTAATGCAGCGGGGAGCTCAATAACGTTGCTATATGCCTGGGGAATCGACCGGGGCTGGTCAAAAGGGACCACTGCTATTCATAGTACAGAATGACTAGGGTGATTCAGTGTGTGACCAGCAATTTTTCCGGCGCTGTACACGGCCACCGGCGCTAATCAACCGGCGTTATTGATGCCCCCCCTGCCCCGGCGTACTGCTTTGGTGGGCCCGGTTTAGTTACCCCCCTGTTGAGCGACACGCCCTGCATTGCGACCACGAAATCGCGTGGCACCTCCACTGCAGCATCCCGCCGTTTATGCCGGCAATACCGACCTGCCATGTAAAAGGCGACCACGTTTCCTCCTACACTAAACCGGGCCCACGACTGCTGCCTGAAGGCAGAGTAGCACTCAACATCGAAGCCATGCCACATGGCATGGCATGACTGCATGATATTGCGAAGAGAGAGCTGTGGTTAGGGTGCTTAATGCTCGGAAAAAGGCTTCCGTAGTTGACGTGACGAAAGATACCACACCCCCGGACCGATTTTCAAAGCTACGAAGAGCTTGCCAAGTTCAAATGATATATTTCGGAAAGCTCTCGACGAGGTGGTTCCAGCGCCATTCTCGGTGCCGTCACTGGTTTTCGTGCCGAGAAATGGAGCTTTGAAAATCGGCCCAGGGGGTGTGATGTCTTACGCAACCTACGGTATGCGGCCAGGACGACCTGAAACGATGGAGGGCGTGGGCGGAAGCCACGGGCAACGACAGCGGTCTTTGCCGTTGGCGTGATACACAGAGAACGCATGGAGATAGATGACGGCTGGCTGACGAGTTGCTGTGCCGCTCTGCTTTAGAACGTCGCGTTTCGAACGCAGCCACGCATCCTGCCGAATGGCGCGCTTCGCTGCCCTCCCCTGGATGCACCCGTGCTTGCGTGTCGACGTTTTCGTTCTAGGAGCTGGAACGAAGGCTGGAAGTGGACGTGCGGGGCAACTCTTTCTACTTCAACCAGGCCGCCTGGGCGGAGGCGTTGCAGCTCCGGGAACAGGTATGCACCTTTTTTTTTTCTTGTGGTTTTTGTTGTTGTTGTTGTTGTTGTTGTTGTTGTTGTTGTTGTTGTTGCTGTTGTCGTTGTCTTCACATTAAGAATCGCTTCGACCTCTCCATCCAGTACCTTCCATGCCCGCGAGTACACCCCCCCTCCCCCTGGTCCGGTGAGAACCCGGCGTGCTCCGTCCCGGCTTTGTAGGGATGCGAGGTCAATGGTCAAACGACTACGGCATGCACGACTATGAGTACACCCCCCCCCCCCCCCCCCGGGATAGCCCGCGTGGCCTGTTTTTGTAAGGGAGCAA